TTGGATATACCTTTATTCTTAAGATGTACCTATATTCTGACACAAAGACCATTCAAAAAAGAAAAAGAAATCTGACTTTAAACAGTATGTAACATTCAAGGTTACAGGCTCATACTTACCAAGGTTTCAGGGCAGTAAAGCAAACTATCTTCAAAGATAAATCTTGCTTCGGTATTCAGAAGTAAGTCTCACTAAGTTCAATGGGATTTACTCCCATGAAAGTGCATATAAGGCTGTAGCCTTAAAATAGCATAAGCCATCATTTAATAAACAATTCTAGACTTCATATCTACCCCTGCTGAAGTGGAGGACAGAATCTCCATATATCTCACAAAGGATACTATTTCCTCATTCTGTGTCTAGGAAAGGGATTTGGAAATTGTTCGTTTGATGTCTCAACTTAATCAAGATGTTTAAAACATGACTGGTACAGCAGGGAGAAGGTGTGCTATAAAACCAGTTTTGATTAGAATAGCTAACATTCAGAGGAAACTTTGAAGCTTCATTATATGAGAAATTGGAGATTGTGTTGAAAGGTGATAGGGGCTTGTAGGACGTGGAGTGCTTTGAAGTTACTCTTTCTGTGAAACGCCACATCCTGCACTCACTACACTGAATTACTTGAGAGCATTATGTAGTACAGTATAGACACAAGAGAATTTTATTCCCTAAACTTTTTAAAAGCTCCCTAACTCTATACTGTCTGAATTTCTTTTCTCAGCTTTTCTTTTCAGTTTAATTATTTCTGTCAGTGGCAACTGTATTAGAAATTTTATATAATCAAACAACAGGGCAGTTCACACAACACACCAGATTCATCATGGGATGTTTAATCCCTGATCAGCCATTTATAGTCCACCTAGCACCATAACAGAGATATGCCATAAGAAGCAGAAAAAGAGCAAGTGTGAACACAGGCACGTTCTTCCATAAACAACCAGAATGTGTCTCCAAACAGCTTCCTCAGACTACCTCCTCAGAAGAAGATTAATACCTGGCCTAGCCAATCAGGAGGTTTAATCATCTTGGCCAATAACAGTCAGAAGCCAGGATCCCCATTGCTAACCAGTCTCTATTCCCCCATAATCAGGAAGGGGCAATATAAACACACAAGATAGTGTTTGATTGTTTCAATAATCTTAATAGCATAATAACGATGTTTCAATAAATTGGAAACAAGTGCACCAAAATTGAAATATATAGTATATTGCATTCATCTTCACTTTTTGTGATAACTTGTGGATGGAGTGATTGGAGGCAGGCATGAATGAGGGAACTGGCATTTGGTGGTTGGCAATGCAAGTAAATATGTCAAAGGTTGTCAGAGAGGAAGGAAAAGATCTCTTCTTGCACATACCAGAGTGTAGGATATAGAATAATCCGCTCAAGTTGTGACAACACAGATTCAGACTAGATAGCGGGGGGGGGGGGGAATCCATCAGAGTAATACAACAGTGAAACCATCTGCCTAGAGAGGTCATAGGCTCTCCCACACTAGAAACAATTCCAAGAGAAACTGGACAACCATCTGAGTGGAATGGTGTAAGTTGGTATCCTGCACTGGTATCCTGCAACAGCAGAGGGTTGGACCTGATAGCCTTCTTGGCCCCTTCCAATTCTACTGTTCTATGGTTCTACTGCATGTAGATATCCATGAGTAAACTGGATACTGACCTTTTCAGAGGCAACCCCCAACCCCCAGCAAACAGAAACTGCAATCTCTAGAAACAGGAGGAAAATGCATACACACACAATTTTGTACTTAGACTTTGGCTGGCTAAGAAGTTCCCCACCCCCAGATCTATGTTAGATGACAGGCTGAAATATTGGCCTGTAAGAACAGACATTACAAGCTCATGTTGTTTGAAAGTGGAGAAATAAATCAACAAATATACCTTGGATAGAACATGTATCTGCACCTACTTTTTCCTGACCTACTCTGGGCGAGAAAAGGTGGGCATAGAAACAATCCTTGAATCATGGAAGTGTTGGAAGGGGCCAGAAGGCTATCAGATCCAACCCCCTGTTCAGTGTGGGACTCCCAGTTAAACCATCTCTCTCAGATGGCTGTCTAGTTGCATCCTGAATGCCTCTAATGTAGGTGAGCCTACAATCTCCCTAGGTAATTGGTTCTGTTGTCATACTGTTCTTACAGTCAGGAAATTTTTCCTGATACCTAGTCAGAATCTGGCTTCATGAAACTTGAGTCTATTATTCTGTATCCTGCACTCTGTCTTGTCCTTCCTCTTGCTGAAATCCAGGTAAACCCCATCCACCGCATCCCTTCTGTCTAGCCACCTCAAGGTCTGATCACAGAATTCCACAAGGTTCATCCGGCAGGATGTGTGTTTACAGAATCCATGCTGCGTGGCTGCCAACCTCCCATCCCTGTCTAGGGTTTCTAGAGCTTTCCCTATTATGAGCCTTTCCATCATCTTTCCCAGAATGGACGTAAGGCTAACTGGCCTTTAATCCCCTATATTCCCTCTGCTATCCTTCTGAGGGTGTCCAAGGAAAGAGTGGAAAACATCATGTTGGGGATTACATGAGTGAAGCTGGGGGTCAGACTAGATGGCCTGGGAGACCCTTCTGACTTGCTTTCTTTTTTCTCCCCTCTGACAGAAATAATTTCCAGTGAGGCCACCCCCCCTCAAAAAAAATCCAGCTTTAAAATAGCTGTGGGCAATGCTGCCTGTTCTCTACATCTGCCCCATCATAGCGAAGTTACCTCTGGCCCCCGGTAAATAGCTTAGCTTGAATATAATTTTCATTGGGAATAAAAGTTGATGAGAGTCATTCGTCTCCGCAACTGCCCTCTCCCTGGTTGACCCACGTCCATGGACAGGAAAAAGCAAGCAAAAGATCACCTGCATCTTCTTGCCCAGAGCCTCAAAGTCCAAGTGATTCCCCCATCCTGCCTGTTTGTCCCCACGTGGATTACCAGAAGTGACCGATAACCCCCCCAAGGGAAGAAGATGCTCCAGTCTGTCCATCACATGCCGGATGCGTGTGCCTAGCAGACCGCCTTTGCCCCTAGATTTGGCTGGCACACTGCCACCTCGGTACCCCTTAGTAAGGTGCCCCCAGTGACAATGACTCACCTTCCTCTCATCTGTCCAGAGATCAGGGACTGTACTTCAGCCCCCATATCTCCAACAACAGCCTCCTGCCCGTGTCTGACCTCAGGCCAGCCTTTCTGAGGAGGCCAGTCCCCTGGGGGACCCACAGCCCCAGCCTACTCAAGTGGAGAAAACCTTTTCTCAGCTTCGAATCAGCTCCTGGAGATGGAGGGTGTGGTGCTGGCCTCTGCCTCCTGAGGGTGTCATGGCTCCGCATCTCCCCAGCTGATTTCCTGGTGGCCCCTTCCTCTTCATTTTATGTGGAAGGGGGCTGCCGCTGGTTAGCCTGGAGGACTTCCTGGACAATGTCCAGGAACTGTTTTCCTCCCTTATCTTCTGGAGATAGGTGATAACCTACTCCAGACCCTTCACCTTTACCTCAAGGAGGGACACTAGTTTGAACACCAGCTTGAACTTAGTGTAAGTGTATCCTGGCTCCTCCTGGCAGAGGAAGACAAACATTGCATAGGAGCTGCAGGCAACCATCACACCTGCCCCTCCTGGCCTGGCATAGGTCACCCCTCAGAGAGCCTTGTTTCTACTTGCCCCCTGTACCCTTGTCTTGCCTGCACTATGCAACCCTCACTTGAGACCGAGAACCACATTCCCTTGGTGAAAACAAAGTCCCTGGGCCACCAAAGGGCAATGCCCTTGTTGCGTTGCCCACTGGCCCTGCCAATTGCCAAGTATGACTTTAAAAGCCCCAGAGACCGCTGCCCCACCCTCCTCCGCTTCCTCCTGGGCCTCTCTGGCCTGGACTCCCTTCCTCTCCACTCCTCCTGCCCCCCCCACCCCCATTTACCCAAGCTCCTACCTTGCCTTCACAAGTTCCCTGCGCCCCCCCACCCCGGTCTCTGCTGCTCCACTGCCAAGATCCTAAAAGGTGGGATGGTTCAGCTCCCTTACATAACTCCATACCAGTGCTGCTTTTTAAAACATCCTGTTCCTACCCTGTAAGGAATTCCATCCTGAAATACAGATCCCCTGTCATCATATGTTTGTGTGCCCTCTTTCCCAATTGAGTGTATCCTTTTAACCTACATATTACTTAGGGATTAAAACTATAGCTTATTTTTCTATTGATTTCAACAAGTTATCTTTGCAAGTATTAGCTGGGTTAGCTAAAATATTTGGACACTGTATTTACCCAAATGCTTGGAATACTTCCCATATGGTAGCTGGGTTCAGGTAACACAAACCATGGTGTTTTGTTTTGTTTTTTACATTTGTTGGTCTGTCATGCTGCCTGAACCTAGTAATGGTATTTCACCATGGTAAATTTGGTCTGTAGAAACAATAGTTTATTCTACGGTTTCTCTGTACCACAATGACTTACCATGTTGTCTGAACCCATGATCATGGTTTCCATTGTTCTGGTATGCAACTACCACAGAGTTATCTGAAAAGAGTGACAACTGCAGGAGCTGCTACATCTATGTGTGGATCAACGAAGCACAGGCAGACAACACCGGTAGGGAGTGCTGCACCTTAGGATTGAATTTCAGGTGCAGTGCCTGATGAGATATATGCCAACAGCAGGAAGACCAATGGGGAGGATGAAAACTATAGTGAAGTAGAAGCCACTTGACTGTCAGGTAAATCATGGTAAAAAAAACTGTGAACCATGATAATCCTACAAAGTATTATCTTACCACTGGAAACTGAGAGCACAAGCCAATAGGGAGTGGCTCATTTTCCTAAGGCAATCTACTGAAGGAACATAAATGAAATGGTACTTAAACCAGGTCACAACTTAACTGCTAGGCTGCATGATCTATCCCACTAAATTGTTTGAGTATTTTATATTTGTTTTTCTACAGCACTGATGAAGTAGTATCCACTACAATCTCCTAATATTAAGGAGACACATTAGGCATCAACTCTGCTTTCAACTTTTATTTTTGGAAAAAAATAACCCCACCTTAAAAATTGCCATTGTACACTTCAGAATACAAATCTGAAAAAAGCTATAAAAACTAAGACATGACTTAAGCCTAGTAGACTGTTCCATATTGCTGGTTTTAACTCTAGTCCAAATCAAAATTTGAATTTTGGTCATTTGGTCTAAGTATTCAAAGGAGTCTGAACAATAGTTACAACAATGGGTTCAGAGCACAGACATGATTATACTATAGACAACAGCTATAGCCAGGGTCTAGTAAAATATGCTCCTTGGAAAATAAACATAAACAAGTGCATTTCTATTTATTAGAAGCTATAATAGCAGCATTATGGTGCTATCACAAAACCCAAGTTGGCATGCAGCAAATGAACTAAATCTTTTATGTGCAGACAAGAGTTGGGTCCAGCACTTTTCCTTGACACAATATTGTTCCATACATACAGTAGTAAGTTGTCACATTCTCCAAATGAAACACAAAAGGCTTTCCATTTATTGCTAAAGCAAAATAGATACCAAATATTCTGTTCAACAGTCCAGTTAGCAACTGAAGCACCTGAGTTAGGTCTTACAAACAAGGTTTTGTAAGAAAGATTTCATGAATATATCCACATCTCTATATGAATCTAAACACTTTTTTCTTACAAAATGTGTTACTAGAAATATACTCAGATGGACATGTAACTTATACAATAGCAAAAGCTTTAAGCCCCATTTAATAAGATGATCTTTGATTAAAAATAGAAGGCAAAATGTACTCAAGTTACATTAAGAAAAGCTTTCACAGTGTAATACTAAGACTGTCACAAAGTTAAGAAAATACTGATATCAAAGGTACAAACAATCACAATGTTAATAGACAAAAATTACTATACAAGGAAATTTCATAAAGGAAGAAAATGCCACCAGAACTCAAGGCAAGTTGCATCCTTGCATGTGCACCACTGGCAATCACCACGTTTTGCTTGTTTTGTCATCTGTAGAAACCCTTAATTGTAGAAGGTCAGTTCTTCTTAGCAATCTGATTCTTAGCTTCCGACTGGTCACTGTGTGTGATGTTCTTCATCACTGCACAATTTCAAAATAGTGTAGTATGGCCATAATATGCTGAGGCATGAAAACATAGCCAGTGTACAGAGCCATTCCAAGGATGGACACTAACATGGAATCTGAATGACAGTAAAGGAAAACACACATTGACAGTACATTTAATATAACCTGAATGATATAGCAAAATTCTATACCTGTCATAAATTTCACTAGTTAGATGGGGCTTACTCCCAGACTGCAGCATAAGTTTGGTTGTATGTAAGTATTTGAGGAAGAATACAAGGAGACATAGAGATTTAACACCTCTTTAAAGGAGAGAAATGGCAGATAACACTTCTTCACCTGAATAACTGCCAGTTTCTCAACTGATCAATATGAATGATGCACAATATAGCAAGTATTTGACAATACTAGTCCTGTCATATGGTGGTTAGCAGCAGCAAGTAGAGAATACTCTCTGATTATCAGAACAGGTAGAGCAAAAAATATAGTATGTTAACTGCAGATGCAGAGATCACTTTTGTCTGATCAGCTGTGAAACAACAGCAGCATTGTGTATGCATTGAACTATGAATTTGCAATAGCATTACAATGTGATTCTGGTAATATGATCTAAAATAGTGATACATGATATTGCACCAGTGAGGAATGTTTAGACAGCTAGAAGCAGGCACTACTCAATTTACTCTAAGTTTTGATTCTGTATTTGATTTAATGGACCACTTGAATATTTGCCTGCAAAAAGTTATACGCAAATCCTTGGCTGAATAATCCGCCATCAAAAAAGTAACTTAGCTGGAACACGGGCTCTCACTTCAAAAGCATCACTGTGTATTAACAGGCAGAAATCTGAAACTTTTAGTTACTCAGAGGAACTAAACAGCTGCCCCATGTCAGCATTATTTGAAATTTCGCTTTAACTTTACACAATGATTTGACAGGCAAACCAGATTCAAAAAAACTGAAATTAGAGATGATCGAGAAAAAACCTGCCTGATATGTTGATGAGACTGCATGTGATGCACAAAGAATGAAAATGTGTGTACAATTCAAAATTATAAGAAAATAGCTAATTTCAAAGTAAGTAACAAACCTCAACTTCTTTCCCTTTTTTGTATTTTTAAGAAGTAAGCCCCAATAGCTGAATGAATAAAATCTGCACCAAAAAGGCAGTTAGGTATCTGATGATAAACACTGAGGTCAGTGCTAAAAAATAGTTACACTCAGTTTTTAAAATCAGTACAGTAACTTTTGGATGAATTGGAAGATTAAACATTATCCCTAATGAGGGAAGTTAATGCAAAACAAATGTCCATCTTAACAAAACTGAATTTATTTCAATTTATCCCTTTCATTATAACTGATAAAACCTAAAAGAATGGGAATAAGATAAGTGAACATGAGAAGGAAGAAAATCCAGAGTAAGAAAAAAACCAGAAGCAAAAAGACAAAGGATACTATTATGGTATGTTTTTTTAATGGCTGGAAAAATAATGGAGGATATATTTTATTCTCAAGCAGAGAGATGGCATCAAGTAAAATTGAACAAGTCAGCTAATGATATTTGTAAAAATGAGTAAAAATAAGTTTAAAATGCTATTTTTAAATGATTAAAAATAACATGTACATGTCAAGACAAGCTTTTATTATAAACATTACAAATGACACAAATTTGTTCCTAGTATTTCAAGTTTAGTGTCCATAATTAAACACTGAAACTTTAATTTTGGTGGGCACTGTGATTTTAGAATATCACAGTGTATGCCAGGGAATATGAGTAAATATCAAGATTGGTTGAATAGTACTTTTATTGCAACACATGAAAAATGCAAGAAAATATCATTTCTCATTGTATTAAGATAAAACCATTTATTTGTTTTCATTTTTATTATACCATCCCATTCCCATAAGCTCTAGGAGTTTTATAAGAGATTAAAATCAACAGTTAAAATGGCAACTAAAACAAGCATATTAAATAAAATTAAAACTAGTTTGGGAACTAATCTGGGAAGGCCTGTCAAGACTCTCTAACTGCCTCTTAAAGGAAGCAGTCTGGGATTTCTGGCATCTCTCTCCTGGCAGGCTATTCCTGAATTTAGGGGCAACTACTGGGGAAGTCCTGTAGGTAGTTGACATTAATCTGACAGAAGCAAGCTTCAGATTTTCCCAGGAGAATCTTAGCAGTCAAGGAAAAATATATGGGCAAAGGCACTCCTGAAGGTATTTTGGAGCCATGAAGGGGTTTAAAGGTAATTACCAAAACCTTGTACTGCATCTGGAGACATACTGGCAGCCAGTGCAGAGACCTTAACATCAGTGATAAATTGATCTCTCTCTATGATGACCCGGAAACTAACCTGACTGCCATACTTTGTACCTGCTGCAGTTTCCAGAATAGGAACAAGTGTAGTCCTATAGAGAGCACACTGCAGAAATTGAGCTAGAGGTTACCAGTGCATGCACTACTGTTTTCAGGTCACTCTCCTCCAGGAAGGGATGCAGTTGGCGAATCAGCTGAAGCTGGTTACACACACTCTTGACCACAGCTTCTATCTGAACCGACATCTGAAGGTTCAGGTCAAGCAGCACCCCCAAAATGCAAACACAGTCTTTCAAGGGGAGTGTGACCCCATCTGGAACTGGTTGGCACACCTCTAATCCTGGATTCAATCCTTTAACAGCAAGCAACCCCACTTTGTCTGGATGGAACTTTTTAGGCAGAAAGAGTCAAAGAAGAAAAAGATTTAATTCAGTGGTATAGAACTACTGGTATGTGGGCGGAATTTGGCACACACAAGTTCCCAATATAGAAGTTAGATTTTTATAAGAACAGTGGTATATTGGCATTATATATAATAATATGTGCTTAATTCTAACTTTTAAGAGACTGGGAGCAGTTAGTTTTGCAATACACATTTTTTTGCAATAAAACTTTTAAATGAGTAAATACGTGAAAAACAAAGCATAGATTGCATGGGATATATAGGTAATAGATAAATAATTGTGCACACAGCAACAATTTTGTAAGCACATGAATGTAGCCAGAGGTATAAAGCCTTCTATAATTCTCTGGCTGGAGATGTTAATTGTTATTTTATGACAGCCACTACATAGTTAACATGAACACTCATTGAAAAAATAGAAAAATACAACAAAGTGGGTAACTACATATTAGATAATTCAAGCGGCTATTTGTTAACCCAATGAAGTTTACAGTGATTATATCTGTATCTTAAATATCCTGGAGCAATTTATTATCTGTTTGGCATAAGAAAACCAAAACTCCATACAGTATGTTTTAGAAAAGAAAGAAAACAATAAAATATTCGGTAGTGAGTCAAAATGAGAAATGTAGTAGAAATATACTGCCAATGATATGAAAATAGAATTTTGCTTGAAAACCCTAACAGAAACTCTTATAACTCTACCCAAAGACAGTATACGAAAGTTAAGTCAAGGACAGTATAGAAATAAATGACCATTCAATGGGAAACACAATTAAAAGTGCAAACTGTCCTAAGCAGTGGAGACTAAATAAACACTTGATATGATGCATTACTTCTCGGTAGGCACACAGTGCTATTCTCTTTAAACTGGGACAGCATTTGTCAGTTTTTGTGGTAAAATCACACCCTACAGTGAGCAGGTGAAGAATCTTCTTTCAGTCAGTAGTACAAAAATGGTTCCCCTGCTTATTTCTAGTGTATAGAGATATATCAAGAAATGTTTACTTCAATAATTTCTTTTGATCTCTAATGAATTGCACCTAAGTTATCATGGAAAACAACTGCCTTTCTTTTTACCGTGATTTCTCACCCCTTCCCCAAGCCTGCACTGAAAACCAGAACAGCAGACACACCCCCTACTGCTCATCAGAAGCCAACCTCAGATCCCTTCAGGATCAGCTGCAACAGTGGAGACCAGCACAACACCCGCTGGTACAATTACGCCCATAAAGCCCTCCAATGGCACCTGTGGAGTTCTCTATTAAATAGCCCTTCTATTTTGAAAAACTTGGAAAATGTTAGGATACAAGATTCTCCTTTCTCTTCCTGAACTATCTGCTAATAAGCTGTTTAGTGAGCCAGAAGAGTTTCTTCCTGGCCCCATCCAATCTTCTTCCACCTGTACTGACCTTTGTGGTCTCCATTGTCACCCTCTAGCCTCAGTATTTCTCTCCCTGCAACTACTGTCCTCATCATGTCCTTCCCTTCCCCATCCTTAGAAGACTTCTTTCTCTCCTTTCATAGACCCAACCTGGCTCTTTCTCGCCTACTCACACCCCTTTATTGCACTGTTTCTTTCTACTCCCAGTCTCTTTGGACCTCACTATTTCTCTCCCCACAGCTCTCAACAACAGTCATTTTTGACTAGCCACTTCCTTCATGAAAGCCATTTTGTGGCAGTGCCCACAGCTGCTCCTCAAATTCCCAAATGTGGCCATGTGTCCAAAAAGGCTGAGGACCCCTGACCCACAAAACTCTCCTTTTCTCTGAAACACTGCCCCTTAAAACTTCATTATCTATAGATCCAAATCAAAGCAAGACTGACCCCTTAGACCACCCACCCACAAACTCCACTCAAAGAAGCCACAAGCTGCATGCACTTGAAGCGTTTTACCTTCAACACCCCCTCTCCATTTTATTTTTTTCACATCCACCTAGAAACTGGTAAGGACATAAGGACACTACAGTATTTATTTTCTCATTGCTCCTCGTATTCAAACACTCCTGAGCACACCCATCCAGGGGCTACTCCTAACTACCTCAGTTTATCAAAACTGGATTTTCTCAGCATCACAGACTAGGTGCAGCTTTGATCTAAGCCACACAGCCCCCTTAGCCTCAAAATCAGAAGTGTACAATATAAGATGGAGACCAAATGTTATTTGTTGGTTCCATCCCAAGCCTCTTCTGCTTCCAATGCCAATTATCTGCCTTGGACTACCCAACAGCAAAGCTCATGAGTAACCATAAGTTGGAAGTAAAGAAAAATAAGAGGTGCTCTGAACTGGAGTATGGGGAGAAAGGGGAGGAGATAGATATAAGAAACACACACTTAAAAGCCAGACCTTACGCTTAGCCATGATCTTCCCTCCAGGAAGGCCCAGGCCTGGCTGAAAACCAAAAATATTCACTCTCAAACACACCACAGTCTCGTGGCACCTTAAAAATTAATATTTATTGTGGTATATGCTTTTTCTGAGGGGGCAGTCCACTTCGGCACCTGCGCCTTTGCTGCTTCGGCTGAAGCACGGCTACCCTAACATGAATTTTCCACCCACAACTCCCGCCACTTCGCCCCCAAGCCCAGCCCCTCAAAGCTAAGTGCGCGCACACCCCGTTCCCAGGAGGGGGGAGCCCAGCAGTGGCCTTCTTCCTCGTCCCAAGCCAGGCGGCTGCTCTACTCCTTCCGTTCGTCCTTTGCCATCCCGGGCCGTCGCGCCCTGCCCGAGACAGCTAGCCCTTAAAGCAGCGCATCACACCCAGTTGAAACAGGACTTTCGCAACGCAAGCAGCCACCCTTCCCTCCCGGGTCCCTTCAGCCGAACACGCGAAAGGATACTGAACACCGTCCTCTCCCAAGGCTCGAGCATGTAGAGCGCGGTGACCAAGAGATACTGGTAATAAAGCCACGACATTTGTTTCCAGGCCGAGCTGAGCGCCATCTCGCCGGCAGCGCCTCAGTGCGTGCGACTTGCGCCAGACAGACAGGCAGTTAAGGCAGCCAAGCCGAGGGAGAAGGGCGGCCGAGGGGAGGTGGTTAAGCGGGAGGGAGCTTTGACGCCAGCCGCTCCGTGGATTGGTTGCACCGCTTCCCGTTCTTCCCTGGTAGGCCGGATCAATCCCCCTCACCCCCCCTCAGGCGAACCAACGCGAAGTTTCCCTGTGTCGGTTCAAAACGCATGAGGCGTGTTCCGTTGGCCCGAGTTTTGCAATTGGCTGAGGCGACAGGCGGGCATCTCGCCGCCGAGTCGGGAGGACGAGAGGGCGCCTGTTGCATTTGAGGCCTTGGACTGGAGCGTTCCCGTAAAGTTTTGTGTCAGTCGTAGACAAACTAGTTAGTTAGCCTTGGAACTGGCGGATTCCCGTTCAAGGAACAGCTTAACTTCGAAGCTTACTGTGTGGCTTTTCGGGAGCCTCCCCCTCACAGTTGTCAACGAGCACAAAGCATCCTCTACACGGAAACTTTTCCTTTTATTAGCTGGAATCAAAGCACCCCTACTTCATACGTTGCTAGTTTAGACCCTTTTCCGTAGACCTTACCATTACACCCACTGTAGACCATTTTCATCCTACCCTAATTACTTTAAGTAACCTGTTTTTAGCCCGCCTTAATTCAAGTGTTTCAAAGGAACTAACAAATCCAAAAGTTCTTCCCGTACCTTTTACAACCTTGTGAGGTTGAGTAAGACTAAAAAGGAAGTGCCTCACTCAAGATTGCCCAGTGAGTTCCATGGCTGAGTTGGGATTTGAACTTGGGTTTCCCTGGGAATCTAATAGGAATTCTTTAAATGAAGCAATTACAAAGCAACATTTAATGACCAAAAATACTCAATGGCACCATCCAATTTTATGAATTGTGTCTTCTAGTTTACTATCAAGCAGAGAATGGAGCAGAACTCCTTTGCATGATGTGAATTCACTCTGATAAAAATATCTAATAGCAGGGCTTTTTTTTTTGTCATAGAACGCACCGGAACGGCACCTTTTTTTTCAATGGATTTTACTAAGTGATTTTGAATCGCCTGTCGGCCTATCAGGTCAGCAGCAAACATCATTAACGTAGTACCTGCGGGCTGCTTTTGTGTCCGTGCTGATAGTGAGATAGTGAGGGCGCTGCTGGGCTCGCTGCTCTGCTCGGCTTGGGATTGGTGTGTGTGGTCGTGCGCTGCTTACTGCCGGCGGCGACCATTATTTTTATTTGTGTGACGTGTGTTCCGGCACTTTTTTTTTTTACAAAAAAAGCACTGTCTAATAACATTCTAGGCTCAAAAATAATGTTTTATCATATTTATGTATGATAAATGCTCCCTGATCAAGTGAAAAAGATGGGATAGCTGTGTTGCAGTTTGTGGATGCCATTAGGCTCTCTGTGCTGGATAAGCTTTAAGACTTACATTTTTAGAGGAAGCTGTCTCTACTGAAAGTATCAGGCACAAGACTGAAGACAAGCTGATTTAAAGCAACCAATCACTGTTTGCTTACCATGAGGTTCAGGTATCATGTATTTATTGTTTTATTTACAACATATTCATATTACCAACAAAATACAGTCAAAACTTTTTTAAAAGTATCAATGAAAGCAGCTAAAATAAATCTAAAAGAGCACTGATATTGTCTAATTGCTTGTTTATGTGGCATGCTATAAATGGACACCAAACCTTTGGATTATTATTCATTCTTCAAAACTCACAAAAAAATCAATTAAGAGTAAATGGCTTGTAATAAAGGCTGATTTAGTAAAACTGAAAGAAATTGCTTTTATATGGCAGTCTTCTAGTTTAGTCACCTGAGAGGTTGATCATTTATGAAATCTATTTGAGTCTGACTGCTAACGAAAAAGGGATTAAAACTAGAATAAAAACAATCTAATCACTGTTTTAAATACTATACTATTGTATAAAGTGGTGTTGTTTCTTTTAAAAGGCTGTAAACTGAACATTTTGATTCTAAAGTCAGTAAAAACTAGTTCCAAATAGCAAAGAAAACAATTATTGTTTTGCTCTGTGGAAAGTAAATTTTTAAATCTCAGAAACACAAGAGAAGAATCCCAAAGCCACACCAAAGAATGGAAAAACTTTCTCTGTGTGTTTAGCATAGCAAATTAATTTTGCTGCCAAGATGGTACACTGCTGTCAAGGAACTCTGAGCTATAGAATGCTTGGCCTGGACACAGGAGATGGCAATTCAAAACACTTCTTAGTCTTACATGGCTTCTGGAAAAAGCTTCTTGAAAGTGCTGCTATAACGATAAAACAAGTAGAATATTTTACATGGAATAAAGTTAAAAAATAAGAATTGCCTAACATCTAACTTTTAACAGAAAACCAAAGGCTACTTCGAAGATTTCCAAGTTGTATTTTTCAATAGCTGGGCCTGCACTTTTGCACCCATACAAGACAGTAACTGAAAGTGTCCTGTGCATTTCTGCCTAACTTGAATGTGTCTTATTAATTTCTATCAATTTATGCATCTTTGCTATTTCTATGTGTTAAGTTTCTGAGGAAGTGGAAATCATTTTAACCATCTTTTAAATATTCTTGTAACAACAGATTTTAACTAATATTGGCATTTTATGAAGTACCCCCAAGTTTAAATCGCAATGTTCATACAAATTTCTTTGAAAAGATCCAGAATTCTGAGTATGGTTAAAGTCTCAAAGTAGACCAAAGAGTATCTCTATGACTTTATTTACCAGGAATATGCTCTTACAGATTAGCAATTTGGATGCTAAAAGGAGAGAAAAGTCTGGCATGGCATCTCAGGGAGCTACAAGCACAAGAAAAAAAACAAATACAGTATGGTTTCCAAAATATTTGGGATGAATAAAGAACAGGGGGAAAATAATCAAAACTCCAAGTCTTGAACATAGTTAAATTATGTCAATATCTGGTTTATATTAGTTTTCTTTAGCTCCAAATATTGTTATTTTGCTTAACAGGATACTAAGAAATATGCACATAGGCAAGAGTTTGAAAAACAAACTATACACATAAATTAAAGTTCACTTATTTTATCAATCCAAGGTGGCTGAATATGATTTCCACATCAATTTGTTGGACCCTAGAACAACTGAACAACAAAGGGAACAACAGCTTCAAACAATGCAAAATTTTGTGTCTTAGCAGTGGCTTGCTAGAACATTGAAAAAATGAAAGACTTCATCCTTATCCAAAACAGCCACTTCTGTTGAACACTCAGTACATTTCACTGGATGATAAATTTCCTCCTCTTCCTGTTTTTCCGAGCCAGCAATGGATTCACTACTCTGTTTAATTTTCTTGTGCTTTCTCTTTGTCTTCTTGTTCAACGGACTTTTGTATTTCAAAATCTCTTCTTTGACAACAGTGCAGTTCATAACAAACATTGCTCTGTACTGAGTTCTGTATGATTCGTGCCTAAAAAAAAAGTGAGTTGTGGGGAGAAACACAATCACTTTTGGCTGATAAAATATACTGCAAAAGTAGAAAGCCTTCAAGTCTTGAATCCAGGAGATTTGCAGGTGAACAAAAACAAACATCAAAGGAATCTGTCTGAATTCCAGAAAAGCAGTATAGCCAGAAAAAAGATAAGAGTAACTAAGCACATTAGAGTCTATAAGGTATTGCATCTGATGGTGTAGGTTGTCCACAGTAATCCGCTTTATTGGTTTCTCCCTATAACTCTAGTGATTTTCCAGAGTAATTTATGCAATATGTAGCAATGGATGAGCCCACATCCAATTTCAAAACCAACCTACCTCAAATTATTTTGGGCCCCAGCAGCAAAAAGTAAAGAGCTTAGCTTTCTTTAAAGGTACAACAGAATGGAGCTGCTTTTTCAAATCAGAAACCTATTTAAATCACAAACAAGGTGCATCCAATGGTGGTCACTCCACTTATAAAGCATAAGAAAAGTCATGCTGGATCAGACCAAGTGTGCACTCTAATCCAACATTCTGTGCACACAGCTGACTTAATATCAATTAGACAAGTCAGGCATGACCAATGTAAGTCCCACTAATACCAATGGCACTACACCATGACAGTCAGAATCAGCCCATTGCTTCTGAGACCAAGTTAGCTTGCTCAGTAAAACTTCAGGATATTAGCAACTGCAATGCAAGCAATATCATCTGTAAGGAATGATCAGCCCAGCCCGAACTTGGATGTACTTGAAGGAGCGCTTACGTCCATATACGCCCGCCCACCCCGAGATCTGCGGGAGGCCCTTCTCCGGGAACCCTCTGTGAAGGAAATTAGGAGGGTAGGTACTCGGAGGAGGGCTTTCTCAGTGGTGGTGCCCAATCTATGGAATGCGCTCCCCAGAGGAGTCCGTCTGGCACTGTCGTTATTTGTTTTTCGGCGCCAGGCGAAGACCTTTTTATTCAAACATCATTTTAATTGCTAATATTATTTGCTTAATTCTTCGGCCAGGGTGACTTATTTTATAATGTTAATGTGTTTTATATTTTTAGTGTTTTATATTTTAACTGTTGTTTTGTAAGCCGCCCCGAGGCTTCAGCGAATGGAGCAGCATAGAAATTTTTTAATTAATTAATTAATTAATTAATTAATGTCTGCTTACAGATCACTGCTGTGTTCTGGCTTCAAAAAAATAATTTCCCTCCCTTAACCTGTTCCCACTATACGTCCCCGCTGTTTCATGTCTTTTCTCCTTTTTTAGCTTGTAGGAGCTTCTCTCTTATTCTAATTCATGTGGGTTGCTTTGAGAGACAATAATTACCTGAAAAGTGGGATAAAAATACAGCACATGTTGATATCTTTCTGAAGAGAAAAAAAAAATCTCTTCTTCGGAGGCTATGGAGGGCATTCCTTCACTTTGGGATGACACCTCTTTTTGGAGTAGTTATCTATTTATTTATTTCGGTATTTCTAACCCGCCCAATCGCTACACGTCTCTGGACAGCTTACAACAATAATTCAATAAATACAACCAAAGTCCATCAAACCAAACCACCAGGCAAGAAAGGGAGGAAAGAATAGTTGAAAGGAATGTGGAGGCCTATACAGAGACTGCTCTGAGGAAAATGCCACAGAAATGAGTGACACAGATAAATCGGGATGTCAGCTCTGGGGTGAGTCCTCCTGCCACCCCCACCCGCCTTATCATGCTTATGAGGGGAAAGGATGATTATATTGCTTAGCTCTTGCATCCAAGACCGGGTGACTGAACAGATATGATGACACTATAATACAGGATGAAAGAGGTACAGGAGATGGCCCATTCTAATTCCTGCCCGCTTCCAAAAAAGGAGACAAGGTCACAGATGCTAAGACAAATATATTCATGAACACAAAAGAGTCCTAGTCTAGATCTTCCTCTGCCTCCTCCATCCTGTTCCAGGACCTCAGAGAGATCCATTCCTCAGGACCCCTCTCTAGAGCTTTGGGCCACCTTTCCCAGTCAATTTGTTCTTTTAAATCCAACTTGGGGGGTGGGGAGCCCCTCGAATGCCTTCAGCAAAGTAAATGGGAAAAAATCCAAATGGGTTCCAGTAGAACTTGACTCCCAGTCAGAGCTTCGTGATAAAGGACACTTAAAAATGTCTCTTTTTGCTGGAGTTTTTCCCCATACTTCTGGCTAAAGCTTCCCACAGACTCCAGTTCTTGGGGCAGGCTTACAACCCACAACACTCAATGGACCATTTATATCAAAAAGCATCTCCCCATGGTTAATGCTGTGCCCTTTTCCTTTGAAGAAGTCTGACAATCATAATGGGATAACCCAGCTAAGTCAAAAACATTTCATCAGTAAGCTTTAATCATTGACCAGCAAAGTTACGGATTTATTTCAGGTGCCCACTGCTTTTCCCTCCATATCGATGTAAGAGTCTGCTTCACTGACAACCTGGAGCAGCGATAACCAACAAGTGTATTCATCTGTCATGTAAATACATTCATAAATTTGATTTTCTTTTGCTAACGCCCTAGTTCATTAAATCTAAACAAAAAGTACTGACATTGCAGAGTGACTATGTGAACAAGTACTGACATACCACAGATTGCTTAATATGTAAGTTATTACCTCTGACAGTCAAGGCACAATGTTGTCATGCAAGCAGGACAGTTCAAAACTGCATCACTGTGGGGAATGGCAGGAAATTTGGCCTGCTGTTGTGGTGACAGCGCACTTCTCATTCTATGATACCTACAGCAAGACAGAAAGAGTTGTCACTGGCCAGGGAGCTTCATGGAAGCTTAGATATGTGTGGAAGCTTTGCTCTTATATCAGGAGTGTGAGAACCACAAGGGCCACCTTGTGTCAATCTTAGGTGAAAACTTGCTCCAACAGGACACCAAAGTTAAATGTCTGTATTTATTCCCTCACATGTATGTTCATGTATTTTAACACACATTCTAGATTCTCTTCTCCATTTTTAGCCATATAATTTATATTTCATGTATACAGGGGCAAGCTACCATGATAAGTTCAACTACCTGGAAGCTGCTTCTCTGCAAAGCAAGTTCATACCACTCCAGGCATTTTATAGATGTTGCCAGGAAACAGGTGCTGATATGGGTTATGCAGAGCCAAGTATAGTATTCTTTCATACAGATAAATTGTTCGGCCAAGAAGAAAAATCACTTTTATACATCAAGAAATTGAATGCAGCTCTGACTCAGCTGCTGATAAAAATGGAGCTCAGGACTCAACCTGATTTTTCATAATCCCTTTCCATTATGTATTTCCTTGCAAATGTATCATAAAAGTGGATTACCATTTGTTTAACCAACAATAGTCAAAGAGGTCTTTCTGCAATTTAATTTCAAAATATGATGCTTCCAACTTTAGATAAGTAAGTAAAGGAAGAAAACCAGATACTAAGACCCATTTGATACTTGCATCTTTAAAAAGCAAGATGTAAACACTGACAGCAAATCAGGAAGATGCTGAATTCTGTCATCATTTGCTGTAAAATGAATTCATTGAATAAAGTCCAAACTTCAGTGAAAGTTAAGGCATTAGACTTAGGGAGTACAGTATCTTGGTTAAAATGAGGAGGACTACCTTCAGAAGTAAGCAGTAAGAAAAGTAGCCATAAGACCACCTTCTCTCCATGTAACTTCAGGAAAGGGGGATCAACCATCAGGGCACTCAGCTTACTGGATTGATGCACTGAGATAATAGCCACCAGAAATGCCAATTGCCAAAAAAGGGGTTGTTTCAAATTCAAATAGCTTAAAAGTCAATGTTTGGAGTAGTACAAACAAACTTCAAGGCATCATCACCAACTGAACTGGTGAAACAAATTTATACACACCCTTGAGAAACTGCAGGACAAGTGGATATAAAAAAACAAAACCCTGTGATGCAACAATGCTGCTTGGTATACACAAACTGAAGTGAGCCTCAATTCTCTATCCATCGGGGAATGCAGAAAGAGTAGAATGCAATGAATAGGGCAAGTACCTAGATCTAAATGAAAGTTGCTGTGAGGTCAGAAAATACCTTCTGTTTCTTGGCATACAACTGCCAAGTAGCCAGTTTCCTTGTTATATCCAAGATCACCTAGACCGTAGGAAGAAACTATTTATTTATTATATTTATACCCCAACTATCTGTTTTAATTATTCAGCTCCCACTGTGAATAAGTAAGTTTTCTTGTCATATTCTGTTCTAAGAACCAGTGTGGTGTGGTAGCTACAGTGTTCAACTGAGGACCAGAGAGATCTGGGCTTTAGTCCCTGATCAGTCATGAAGCTTGCTGGGTGGCTTTGGGCTAGTCACTGACATTCAGTCTGACCTACCTCACATGATTGTGAGGATAAAATAGTGGAAGAAGACTATGTAAACCAGCTTGGACTCCTTTCCAGGGGGGAAAAGGTCAGTTATACATAATAAATAAATAATACCACCACCACCACCACCACGAATGACTTACAACAGCTTTCTTACCCCCTTCTCTTCATATCTACCCATTCCTGGTCTCTGTTGTCTTCTTCAGGATCATAGAACAACTCATCATTCGTGGGAATTCTACGCTGTTGGTGTTTCTTTTTTTTCCTGGCTTCTGGCATCACTGTCAAATTTAACATACATTGTTAGAACACATAGCCCCCTTACAATCATGAGTTTGTCTAGTACCTTTTAAAGGTCATCTAAGTCGGTGGTTTTCACTACATCTTGTCATATGAAATTCATAATTAATCTAGGCTCATATTTCTATACTGGATGACAAGGAACGGGCCACTTCCTCTGGCAGTCCGCATCGTTTTTATACTGGACACAGACAAGGGCTTTGTCAGCCTCATCAACTGCATGGAGTTTTGTGGATTTGCCTATGTAATTTGTCACCTATGACTACCAGATGAGTGCTAAAATACAAGTTGCAAAAACCTGTTGGACTTGCACACTTCTGCTCCCCCTCTCCTTTCTCTTTCTCTAAAAAAATAAAAAGAGAAATATTCTACTTTTACTTCAGAACTGGATGGGCAACTTGTGGCCTCCTGATGTTTTGGTCTACACCACCCTTTTTTTGGGGGGGGCACGGTGACAAACAACACTTCCACCTTTTCAATCATGTAATCAATCAGCGAACATGAGAATGTTCTTAGTATAGCTGTTTAAAACAATCCAACAACAAACTATAGTTGGTATTTTGGTTTGTCAGCTATGGTTAGAACAAGCCACATTCCTTGAGTTGCTATTTTATTGAGAAGGACAGTCTATTGTAATGCAAGATGCATATCCAAAGCTCATTTACAATCATCTAAAGCAGTGTAAGTAACTGGATGCTATCCAGATGTTCTGGACTACTTCCCATAAGCCACAGCCAGCTTGGTCAATGCAACATTGTGAGCTGCCATCCAAAACATTTGGAGGAGACCAGGTTGTCCTTATTTATTTAATGAATTTATATGCTGCTACAATAGCTTATAACTTGGCTCTCTGTGCAGCTCACAATGTAGAGGAAACCATTAAAACAGGTAAGTAGTTAGTCATGGCATGTATCCTTCACTTCCCTTAGTCAAATTACTCTGAAATTAGTAATAGGCATAGTGCAATCTTAAAATGTGGGATAGCTGCAATCATTCAAGAACACACTGAGGAGTCATGTCATATCTCATCAAATAACTTCTAGTATGTTTTAAAAACCAATCTGGTCTCTTCCCTTTAATTCCAGTTTCCCCATCTCCCTTTTGAGAGTGCTTAGCTCCCTACACCTTATCTTCCCAAGTCACCCTTTTCTTACCACATTACACTTTTCATAATTCATTCATGAAATTGCAGTCCATGTCCCAAGGATATTTGTGACTGGACAGCCAGTAAAACCAAAAAAATGGTGCAAAGTTCAGGTCAATAGTGAATATTTCTGAGATTGTAAAAGCCCAGGTCAATTGTGAATATTTCTGTCAGAATGTAAAGGATACTGTTTGAGGTATTTTACAAATGTCCCTGACAAAGAAATTTTGAGTCTCATATTGTTTATATTAAACACACTCCAAACTATAGTTTAATATTCCATCTTATTCTGGAGTTGATAACTATGGTTTCCTAATAAGGAAGAGAGATGAAGCTATAGCTAATCGGGAACTTCCTGATTTGTTTTCGAGCTTATGCAATTGAAATAGAAAGGGGACTACATGGTACAGGGGGAATCTCATTCATATCATGGCTTATCTTTATCCAAAACTGATTAAAAAGTAATTTCCAAAGGCCAATGAAAATCAAGGCAATTTTCAATTTGGAGGGAGAGGAAGGACATATTGAACCAGTGTGCAGAACCACTTCATGGACCAAAGGGGAAACTCTTTCTGGAAGAATGAAGATATTTACTAGTCACAAAAAGTTCCCTTGACCCTGAATAGCATCCATGATGCAAACCATAACATATTTATTTCACTTACAGTAGCAAGAGTTCCTTTATTGACATGATAATCTGTTCATGATAGTGAATCAAAATGCAAATATTCTTTTCAGTGTATTTCTTTTTATTTGACAATCAGAATAAGATTAATGTTCCAGGCCATTATTCTCGTAGGAGAGTTCATTCACTGTCACATTCTTGTGGACAAGGATATTATACCCATGGTTATGTAGACGTGAGTTTTTATGCAGGAGAAGCAGGCAATATTAAAATCATCAATTTACCTGCTTTGTCTTCATCCTCTGAATCAGAATCAAAATAAATGTCATCATAATATTTTGAAGTGGACACAGTGGCAGTTTGCCCAGCATTAGAAGTACCACCTAAGTCAAAAATAGATGGCCATGGATCACTACACAGAAGCAAACAACTAAAAATCCAACCAGATACATTAGAAAATTCCCTGTAATGATCTATACTTACTTCCATGCTTTGATTCTCTGAACTTAAGAACCAACTTACTGGATTAGATCAAAGACTTAGCTAGTCCAGTATTCTGTTTTCAGAGCCAACTAGATGCTGGTGAGAAGCTCAGGAGCAAAACATGAAGACAACCGCACCCTCTTGCATGCTCAACTGCTCCCAGTAATCAAGTTTAAGAAGCATAACTTCTCTCGTACTGAGAGTAATACATAACTATCCTGACTAACAACTACCAGTAACCTTTTTTTGTCCAAGCTGATGTCTGCAATTAAATTTCATGCAAGCAAATTGTATAATCTGGACTGCTTAGCAAAGTACTTACTGAATTAATTTATATCCCAACATCTCTCAAAAGGAGCTCAGAAAAGTTTGACAAGAACTCTGTGAAAGATTAGGTTGTGTGTGTGTCCATGTAAGTGTATGTACAAGAGAAATGCTTAAGTCCCACACACTGCCAGCCAGCAATTTAACTTGGCCTTCTGACATTCGAGTCACTGTACCAACAGTGACAATAACTGCACAGGTTAAACTTCTCTGTTACTCAGTCAAATTGACAACCTCATGCCTTCTAGAAATTAAATCCTTTTAACATATATTTTAATATATTTTACAAATGTTTCTCACAAAGCACAGGGGCAAAACATATTAACACTAACAAGATAAACAACCCTATTACATCAAGTTGTACAATGTAACAAGCTGAAGCAAGGGGACATATTCAAAGGAGATTCAGCCACCTTTGTGCCCACTACAGCCATGCACCAACTTGTGGAAGTCCTGAGGAGCACGTGACTAATATGGACCAGTCTCACATGAAAGACCTTACATGCCTTAGCCATGGGAATTAACTGTACAAACTCTCTTCAAGCTCCTCAGCACAGAACTACACATAGTATGGGACCCTATTTTTGTTTTAAACGTACAGTTTCAAACCCAACAGGTGTACTACTAAAAATTGATTGTGCCAAATTAAGAGAAGGACCAGCATCCATTTAGATCACTTTCTAAACATACAGTGGGGAAATGTCTGTGTCATAACTAAATAGCTTTTAACTAAGAAAAAATGGCTGAAGCTGGCAATGTTAATTTTAGGAAACAGACTGTCACTCAGAGGGAGAGTCCATGCTCTGTGTAAGGAGGTCCCAGGTTCAATATCTGGTACCTCCCTGAAGAGCTTTGTTGGCAGTGAACCAGTGGTCTAACTCAGTAGAAGACAGCTTCCTCTGTTCATATTTTTGTCCATTCAACTGCAGCGATGGGAAATGAACCACTGCATTGCTTTACAGCTGCAACAAGTAACTCATTTTGCAAAAGGACCATGCTGAACACAGAAGGAATGGGAAAAGGGCTTCATCTCCACTCTCAAATGCCATTGCTGTAGCTTCCCACTCTCTCCACATCCCTCTGCCTACACGGGCACCTGAATATTCCTTAAGAGGTGGGCTTTGACCCAGGAATCTAACTGTTGCTCACTGTTATAAGATCTCTAAAAAGAAAACTGAGCAGAGGCAACAGAACAAAGTTATGCTATACTATACCAATAGGTAAAAGGGGTGTCAATAAAGTTGGGAACTCATATTCACCTGTGAGTTGTGACTTCCACTTGCCCTCCATACTTTTCATGGTGCAGGCTAGTTCAGCTTCCATTTCCTTTTGGAATTCATCATCACTAGAAGATTCACTTTCACCCGTCAGACACTCTCTTATCAGTTTACGCTTCTGATCAGGAGTGCCATGTAAGAGCACGTCCACTTCATCTTCAGAGCTAAAAGATGGTGAAATATTAAAGACCATGATTCCAGGGTGAATCTGGCAAGCCTGTCATTGGCACAATAAAAAACATTTGAAAGGTACTTTTTAGATTTTGATGGGGGGGGAACCCTTTCCACCGCAACAATGTAATGCTATTAATTCTGAGACATTCTATACTGTAATAAGATGTTCTATACTTCAGTATTATCAATGATGGAAAGTTACATTGTGATATAAAGGGAGTAAATAGACTATCTTTGTAAAAGTCAGAAACAGGAAGATTATAGGAAAGCTGATTTTTAAAGGGCAATATAACAACTGAAATGTGGAAAATAGCAAGAAGGGAAAGCTAATGTGGGAAGGAGGGAGGGGGAATAACTGATAGGATCAGATGCCCATCAAGTGCATCCAACAGTATAATTCACTTTCACAAGCCATTCACTATGGTGGCTTCTATGCTCCTCCTCCTAATTCAACTCCAGAAAGGAAAAGCATGTTCAAAAGATTCATCAGCTGCCACACACACAATCTTTAATATGACATTTTGGGAAAATAAGCTAAATCAGACTTCCTCAATCTGAACACTTTGGATTTCAACTGCAATAGCATAAGCTGGGATAAGTTATAGTTAAACACATCCAGTGGGCATCAAGTTGGGGAACACTGAGCTACATAATCATTGGATGATGTTGGCATTTGGAGGCACAACTGCTTCCTCACTACCTGGCCCTATCACAAAGAGGAGAAGTCTTTCCCTCAGCTATTACTACAGCAATTGCTTGATTTTCTTTCTTTCTTCATGCATTTATAACCCGTCCTATCTCTTCAAGCGCTCAGGATGGCTTACAAAATATATAAAATACAATAAATATATAAAACTACTACAAAAACATTAATTATTCAAATAATATAAAACATCACTATAAAATGTGACTGTGAAAAAAGGGGAAAGAAATAAAATCTTAAAACATCTAAAAACATTAATTATTAAAATAACAATCAAATAAAAAGGTCCTTTATTTTACCTGGCGCTGGAAAGAATATAGCGTCAGCGCCAGGCAGACCTCTCTGGGGAGCAGATTCCATAGTCTGGGCGCCACTATGGAGAAGGCCCTCCTCCAGGTAGACACCCTCCATACTTCCTGCAAAGAGGATTCCCGGAGCAAGGCCTCTCCCACCGATCTTAAGGGGCATGAGGGCTTATAGGGGAGGAGACATTCCTTCAGGTATCCTGGACCCAAGCCATTTAGGGCTTTATAGGTTAATACCAGCAACCTGAATTGGGCCCGGAATTCAACTGGGAGCCAGTGTAGCTGATAAAAGACTGGCATTATGTGAGAATAATGACCAGTCCCCGTCAGCAACCGGGGGGCTCTGTTTTGTACCAACTCAAGTATCCGGACCATTTTCAAGGGCAGCCCCACATTATGACAGCAGGTCGTACCTTAGCAGTTTCTGGCTCTACTTTGAGTTTATTGTTTCATCTGCATATGGGTTTAGGAGGCACTCCACCAGTACACACAAGTAGCTTCAAGCAGACTAAACTGAAGAAGAAGCAGAGCCACTCTGCTATTAAGGAATAGAGCTCCATACAGCGTCATAAGATGCCAACGTGTTAAATCACTTGTTATGCACATAAATTTAAGTGATACAGTTACACATGGCAAACGCCATGCCCTATGCCAACAGAACAAAAAATAGATCACCAAATTCATTGGATAACTCTGAAGGCACACAAGTACATCTACACACACACACCATGCTTGTTTCTCTAGGGAATTTTATAACTAATATCTCCCTTCGCGTGCAATGCTACGTACGGTTAAACAGAGTAAGTCCTACGACTCCCAGCATTCCCCAGCCAACTGTTGGTGCCTGGGGGATGCTAGGAGTTGTAGGATTTTGCATAGACTTGCAGCCTTATTTATTCAGGTGAGTTTACACCCTGTCCTTCTACCGGAACAAATACAAAAAACTTAGGCGGTTGAAACAACAACAGATATCGCACGAAACACGATGAGCACACCGATCTCTTGGTTAACCCAAACAACGAGACGATTCTTGAAATCTATGTTTCAGCCTCCCTTAAGCAAAACGGACGAGCCTGCAAAACCGGAGGGGGGCAGAAGGGCGATAGACATCATTTTGCACGGTCTCGGAGCCTTTCTCAACGGCAAGGAGAGGCTCCACTCTCTTCGCGCCTCAATTCGACGTTCGCATGCATCCCTTCCCCGCAAACGCAGACTGAAAAGGGAGGAACCGCCTCCCTCTCCAACAAAACACCTGCTTTGCCCCGGCTCCTCATCGCTGGGTTCCTCGACCACGTACGGATCATCCTCCTCCCGCAGACAACTCATGACGGCCTATCTGCCAGCCACAATCACAACCCCGTTCCGCCTCTGCAAGGCAAGAAACGCTTTCCCCGCCTTTTCCGCTTCCGTGCAGTCTGGAATTGGTCCGTCCTGCTACTGAGCCCCGCAGGGCGGGAGGGAGTTTGTACTGCAGGCTGCTCGGATCTGGCTAGCGGAGTTTGCTGAGCGCAGCGCACCACGTGGGTTACACCCAGAGAAATTTGGCTGTTGGGTGCTGTCGAGGCATCTCGGACTTACGGGGTCCCTATGAATGAGTGCCCTCCAACAAGTCCTTTGTTGGGGGAATTCAGATAAATCTTGGTAGGAAAGGTTGCTTATATGTGCCTTTGTGTTATAAAATCAAATCTGCAACATCTCTGCGTCTCTTTCTCCAAAAGTACCCGAATTCCAAGACAGGCTTCTGTTTAGTGTTGTTTTCAAGCCGTTCCTTTAAGACAGGAGTCCTCAAACTTTTTGAACAGGGGGCCAGTTGACAGGGGCCCGCGGTGGCCGCAGACCCCCAAGGCGGTACCGGCAGGGAGGCGTGGGCATGTGGGGGTGAGGCGCGCATGCACACATGCACGAGGGGCGAGGCGCCAACTTGCTCACGAGGAGATCGTTTTCTCCGAGCGTTTCCAAAACGACCTCCTTGTGAGCAAGCTGCACGCACGCCCAGCGAGTGCAAAACCTGTGGGGCGGGCCAGATCCGGCCAGCGGGCTTTAGTTTGAGGACCCATGCTTTCAGAGATGGGTACTACCTTTGGCTAGAAAAGCCTTTGCAGAAGGGGGCTCCCAAGTGTATGCTTGTGCTAAAGCCCAACAAAATAGATATTTTTTTATTTATTTGGAGAACTTAAATGCTGCCCCATTTGCATAAGCCTCGGGGCAGCTTCCAAACATAAATAAATATAATCAGTACAATTACATAAAACATTGGAGACATCCTAGCAAAAAAAAAATTGTTAACATCAATAAATAAAATTAACCATTAAAATAACGTTTAAATAAAAAGATCTTGGCCTGGCACCGAAAAGCAAATAACGAAGGGCACCAGGTGGACCTCTCTGGGAAGTGCGTTCCATAAGTTGGGTGCCACCGCAGAGAAAGCCCTCCTCTGGGTACTCACCCTCCTAATATCATTCACAGAGGGTTCCCAGAGAAGGGCCTCTGCCGCCGATCTCAAGGGGTGGAGGGCATATATGGACGTAAGCACTCCTTTAGGTAACCAGGTCCCAAGCCGTTAAGGGCTTTATAGGTAATAACCAGCACCTTGAATTGGGCCCGGACTTCAATGGGGAGCCAGTGAAGCTGACAGAGGACTGGGGTTATGTGAGCACAATGCCCAGTTCCCATCAGCAACCTGGCAGCTCTGTTTTGCACCATCTGAAGTATCCGCACCGTCTTCAAGGGCAGCCCCATGTAGAGCATGTTACAGAAGTCTAATCGGGAAGTAACCAATGTGTGTGTCACTGTCCCCAGGCAATCGTTCTCCAGGTAGGGACCCAGCTGATGGATCAGCCGAAGCTGAAGGAACGCACTCCTCGCCACCGCTGTTACTTGAGCTTCCAAAGATAGCTCCGGATCGAGGAGCACTCCCAAGCTGCAGACCGTGTCCTTAAGAGGGAGTGCAACCCCATTTAGGACAAGGTTGAAGCCCCCCGCCCCGAAGCCTGACCCGCCTACCAACAGGACCGCCGTCTTGTCTGGACTGAGCTTCAGTTTAAGGGCAGCCAGACAAGTTTTACTCGCAGTATTGCAATCATCCTCATTTGCATGTCAAGACCCACAATAATCCCTCTGCCTCAGTGATCCTTAATTCCTTGTAATCAAGGCTATTGTTTGTATTCTGCAGAGCACCCACATTCTTTTTCACCTTGTTTTGCTTATTTTGTCATCACCTGATCAACTGCAGTCATGTGACTGAGAATCTATTAAACACTGTGTTTATTCTAAAAGCTTGCCGTTGGTGGTGGAGACTCCTACCTGGTAGCATGCTGTTGTAACTGCAGCTGGCCTGGGTGATCTCACCAATAAAAACACTGGGGTTCAAGGTGATTCATTCTTCCCTGCGGGTCCTGGTATTCATTCTCACCATTGGTAAATAGACTCTGACACATGTCATTGACAGCCTACTCTGCACTTGTAAACTTTATGGACTCAATCCCCCTCCTAGTTGGTCTTCCTCTTTGTGTTCTGCTTCAACTGTGCCCAATTTTCTCCTATGATTCTTGCCTTCTCTTGATGTACTCGATGTATGATGGCTTCCATTTGGTCATTTTTGCTTACAGGGAAAGTTCTGGACTATTTTGATATAGGACCCACTGATTCATCTGTCAATCCAGGACATTTGCAAAGCTTCTGGAAGCATCACTTTTTTGGCTCCCATCAGCTTCTGTCCAGCTCTCACAGCCATACATTATAAGGAATAGAACACAGGCTATTTTTTATAAAGCCAGGAGAATTTTGCATCCAGTCCAAGCAATCACCAAAGATGATAGAAGTTCTAGTCCAAACATGATTAACACAGTGTTTTAGGGAAGCCTAGCATCAGTTCTCCCTCCTGTTCTTACCAGTATAAAAGCAGCATTTTCATCATTACTTAAACAGTGAATATCAGAAAGCACCAGTTACTGTACCAGTCTGCCTGGTACAGTAATAGGATTAATTTCATTGATTTCAATTTGTGCATGTGTAAGAAGATACATACTTACTGCTTTCTTCACATCTTGATAATTGCTTGCTTTGGGGAAAAGGCATTTGTATAAATCTTAAAATGAATTTAATACACCTGCCACAGAGTACAGCAATCTTGTGTCTATTCTCAAGATATACACGCTTGAGAAGATACACAACTTTGTTGTAGAGAATGGCATTTTAAATAAAAAGTAAGCTTGTATGTGCCTGGCCACCTGTGTAATATATTTGGTTTTCATTCAAATGAAGGCCACATCAAAGGTGTTAATATATAGTACTTCATTACGCAAGTCTAAAAGTCTTAAATATGTTCAGGTTAAACTATGAAATCCATATTGCAGGTCGGCAAGCACATGCTGTTCTTTCATTGAAAAGACTATTGGCATATTTTAAATCCTTTAAACAAAGCTACATGTAAGCCTCAATTTTTTAAAAAAGTGAACTTAATATTGTAGATGTGTTTGTATTATTTTTGTAGAATTACAAAGCAACTGAAAGAAACTTTGGCTTGATACTAGTATCATCCCAGCTCAGAATGCAATTAAGACACCAGTATATAAATATAGAACTTAATTTTGTTCCTGTAAGACAGAAGTTTCAAGTCTCAAACCTAGAACATATGTAGCTAACACATATGCCAGAGCAAGCTGTTCTATCAGGTTAGATGACTGGTTCATGTATCCTACTACCTATATTCTGATGGGCAGTGCATCTCCAGGGTCCTGAAGAGAGAGCTTTTCCATCATCTGCTGTTTGATCCTTTAGATGACAACATTTGAACATGGGACATTATGCTTGCAAAGTTCTGCTCTCTTCAGTTGTTTCTGTTTCTATCAGAGGATGGTTAATACTAGGCAACTGTCTGTGCTCCCAGGAAATTCAAAATTTTGTTTGGGAGGGAGGCTGCAGGTGGTCACAGCTGACTTCCACAGTATCATGGGAGCTGATACAATGTCCCTCTTTTTGTACTTTCTTCTTGGGAGGGGGCATGCTTCAGTACAACAGGGAGCAGCATCTCCTGGAATGTTGCTTCCCACACAACTTTTATCAAGTACAGCAGGCTTCAAGGTGCTTTTTCTCATAAGCTTTTCACAAACAACCCTTCCTTTCAAAGCTGAAATACAAGTCTTTAGGGTTTCTATGAAGCAATAGCTATGATCTCTCCCTACAGAACCATTTTTTCAGCAAAATCATTTAAGGCTTGCATTTCAGTGGAAGAGGCAGCTTTAAAACATGCCTGCCTGTGAATCCTATAATGGTGTCTGCAAGAGCAATGACAGCTACAAATTGACAGCTACCTCTCTGCTGGAGGTATATGGTGCTGTAGGGAAAATGGCAAAGTCCAGTTGCAAAAAAAAATGATGTGTCCCAGGAGCTTCACATGTGCTTCAATGCATATTCTGGATTATGAGAGTATTTATGTCCTAATTTACTGGGAGCAATAACTATTTGAGTTTGAGTTATTAACTGTTAAAATTGATGGATGAGTCCAACACAAAGAAAATAATAAATTCATTGCTAAAAATTACAAGACAATGATTAGCTAACTTCAGCATTTTAGGAAAAAATCACCGATTTCACAGTTTATTTTACAATAATTGGGATTAGTCTACAAGTTAAGGCAAACATACTAATGCATTTGCTTTTCTTTTGAAGTCATATTATAAAGATTACATAAAGTTTGCTCCAAAATGTCTAGGAAATGTTTGTTATTTGAAAAAAAGTTAAGATGCTTGATAACATTGTGAAATAACCAATACAATGCTTTTTAGCAACAATATTCAAACACCTAGTGGCAATATTTAATCAATTTGAAACAATTTGTCTCAAATCAACTTCAGAAATTACAAAGGTAGTAAAATAAAGAATGGCAGCAATATTTCATACTAGCCTTAAACAAGAACAGTATTCTATTGGCTACTTTCACCAAAAGAAAAGTGGGGAAAGACCTAGAAGGTCTGGTTTATGAACAATAAAGAGCATACAATGATTGATTAATGTGTGAATATTTGTGTATAACAAATATGCTGTTGCTTCATTATAATCTGGAATTACTCTGGTGAGTTTATGCTTCATTCAGGAACAAATAACAAGGAGCTTGTTTATGCATCTTGTGTCAACCAATTTTCCCAGCTAGTTGTAAATGCCAATTCAAAGTCATAAACTCCACTGAAGGCAGCCCTTATTAATGGGGGACAGATTCTGATTTATGTATCTCCATTTAACACTGCCAGACAGCTCTGCAACAGCTGTAAGTTACCCTGTAGAAACAAAATAACATATAAATAGAAGTTACTGACATTGTTTAGTATCATACAGTCCAAAACCTAGTATACTGAGTAAAGGTACAAATCAGTATCAGGTTAACCATC